AATTCTTACCCCTCACTCCCGACTGCTCACTCCAACCTCACTCAATCTTCCTTCTCCCTCCTCCCCACTCTCTTCCCCATCACCCATCTCTCTCCCGCCCACAAGCTCAACCTCTTACAACTTCCTTCCCACTCGAGCAATAAGATCATACGATACCATACCATACGAGGAAGAACAAACTATGATATGCGCCCAAGCTAGACTCCCATAATGCATTCATCCATCCATCAATCCCTCCATCCATCCTTGCATCCATTTATTTATTTATTCATGGCTATTCCATACTTTCCCTAGAAACATTCAAGAAGTAAAGACATTACTTCCTCAACAGGATAAAAACAGATGAACTTCCTTTCTTATCCCTCATCCATATCCATATTCCTTCATTTCGTTTCGAATGTCCTTTCAAGACAACACAATCTAAGCTCCTACCCTAACATCTCCATCAGCTTGTCCATTCTCCAAAGTCTTTTCCAGTGCATCAAGTTCTTCCTCTTCCTCTTCTTCCTCCTCACTGTCATCTACTTCCTCACCATCCTCATCCTTAAATCCGCTATCAATGTCCAACTTCCTCAATCGTCTTCTCATCTCATCCCTCTCTCCATTTTGCCATCTAATCAAAGTCGCAGGCGCATGAACCTTAAATCCATAAATTCGTGGTACATATCGATCGAAACTTTTCGCCGGGATCATCGCTGGGTAAACCTGAAATAAAATATTATGAAATGAAGTCCCGAAATATGCGCCATCAATTGCGGAATGTCGAGAGGATTTAGGATTATAGATATCTTCGCAACGAGAGCAGTAAAGTTTAACAGCTTTGACATTTGGATTGTCGCTTTGACCCATTGGAAGAAGTGGATGCGATTTACACATAACTCGAGGACATTTTCCAAAGTCGGCTTTCTTGTATTTTTCAAGCTGGAAAAGATTATGATTAGTATAGTCTTAAGGTCAAGATGAATCAAGTACTCACCATTTTGGCCAATCCTCTAGTAGTGACGATATAACGAGCATGGACTAAACCATATAAATGTCTTGCCGACTTCTCAATAGTCTCTCTCATATCATCATCACAATCCAAATCAAAGACATCCGTAACTAAATCCAACGCATATTGATAGTATTGAACCTCGGTTTGAAGTCCTGTAAGGTTGAATCGATCGGTGAGATAGTCTTCGTCAATTTCGCAAAAGTACTCATTACCGCGAGATGAAATAAACTAAAAAAGTAGTGTATTAGCAAATATACTCTTGCATGTGTGTAAACTGATATGAAATATGGCCGAGAACTACATGTTTGAAAGGCATGTACGTGGCAAAAGAGCTGGCATCGTTTTCGAGGATACTGCAATTTGATACATCGCCGCGCTCTAAAGTCTCCAGGGCATGGTCAACTAGCGCTGTTGCGTGAAGGGCACGTTCAGAAATCGCTGGCAAAAGATCAAGAAGGTTATCCATTGCTTTGATATTTGCCTTGGAATAGAAACAGCCAACTGATTCGCGTCCTTGAGCCTCAAGATCCTCTACTTCTGAAGCTCGACGTTTCTTGCCTCTCTTATCTCTCTTGCCTTTCTTACCCCGTCTGGGTAACAGAGTTGGCGGAGGACCTGGTGATGGCGTAGATTCCAGGACGTGACGACCACCCGCATCAAACGAACCAAAGATCATCATGCGTAGTCGAGAAGAGATAATATTTCCACTTTCACAATGATAAGTGAGATGGTAGTTTGGAAAACGAAATCGCAGAAGATTATCTTCGAGAGCCGTGGTTCCATTCACCTTTATCGTGAGCTTCCTCCATCCCTTCCACATCGATCGATCGAGTCGATACCTTCCTTGACATCATCCGTACCGCAAACCATAGGTCTTTTCGTAGAAGAATCGTAGTCGACAGGAAGGAGCGCTTCCTTCATCCATAAAAGCGGAGGAGCGATGCGCACCAAATGGCACAAACCTCAAGCCTCGAGCCAGTCCCTCCCAAACGTCCCAAGAACCAAAACTCGCAAATCAAAAGAATAAAAAAATAATAACATACCCAATCTCTCCAGTAACTAGTATAATCGCTATCAGTTTCGCTATTAAAATCGTCCATGATAAAAATCTCCTGGTGGTAAAATCGTCGCTGCTGGGAAAATGTCGTTCAGGAAATAAAATGTACGGTTCAAAATTACCTATAGCATGTGCTTCTCTCAGCACTTGCCAGGTCAATATTTTGCAAAGGTGGAAAGGCTGAATTGTCGTTGTTTCTGCTTTAGTTTAACCTTACTTGGAGGGGCAGTAAAAGGCGGAAAGAAAGTGTGGTGCACGGACCCGTTTGTTGTCAGAATGCGCATTGGCTGGAACGAACCCCTTTATCAAAATCAGAATTTATAGAGCAGAGTATATTGATATCATGGAGATACAGATCCAGGAACATCTACAATGGAGTTCCTCATAAGTAATAAGCTCTTAGTAATTACATTTTAATACCTAATACCGTCCATTTAATACCCTAAAGATGACATATATTCAAGTGAATATACTAAAACATTTACTCGACACCAGAGGGTGATGGAAAAAGTCCATATCTCTTAGAACGAACTCGGGCAATAGAAGCTAGATTCGGACATTCATTCAAACCACAACATCATCTCAAATTGTGCTCCGTATTAGGGGCCATCTTAACGCTGGATTGGCTGTTGTATTTACACTTCCACCTGAGTGAATCGCTTTCCCACAGTAGAAAGGTTCTATGGTATCTTGTTGGTTAAACTATGTTTAAGTACTCATATCAACAACCACCTCTATCTACCCTATGTCTATTCTCATAATGATATCCATCTCGCTTTATCAAGTTCCGTTCTATTACCATTCCATCCTATTCCTAAATTTCATTTCCCATCATCACATTATCTGGCAATAGTGCAACGCCTAAACACGCAACAAAAGTCCCCGCTCCAGCTAGAAATAAGGGGCCATTGAGGTTCGTCGCCAGTAATTTCGCTGCTATTAAAGGACTAAAAATAGAGAATAATCTTCCCCAAAAACTCGCCATTCCACTAGCTGTTCCTCTTACCGACGCTGGGAAAGCTTCCGGTGTCCAACCGTACAATACCGAATTGAACATGGATTGAAAGAAATATTCCATGACGCTAAGTCCCACGTTGGCTGATTGAGTGTGGACTGCCGCAAAGAGAAAGAATGATGTGGCCATTAATGCAGATGAGAAGATCATGGAAAGCCGTCTTCCTACTCGAGGTACTTTTACCATGAGAGCCCCTAAACTTACGCCTACAATACCCGGCATATATATGATAACAAAGTTGCGGTAAGTTTCAGCGTATCCGACTTTGTGTTCCAACCCTTTTCGAGCCAAAATTGTGGGAAGAAATGCGCCTTCTAGATGTTAGTACATTCTCATGTAACCAAATCAATAAGAGTTATATGTACCTGCGACCGAAAACCCCCAGTAGTCAAATGCGTATATTAACCACACTAAAATGGTAACTCGCGCAGTTTGCTTTGATTTGAATAATATCCCAACTCTCTTGATCTCCCTCTTGGTCTTTTGACGTAAACTCAAACCCTTGGGAATAACCGTTCCTCGAAGACGATCGTCACCAGAAGTTGTCGAGGTGGGAGATAGAGGAGCCTCGGTATTATCTAAGGCCCTGAAATCCTCAATGGTAAGCTTTAAAGGTTTCTTGTTTGTTTTTGCAATTTTCTGCAACACCTTCAAAGCCTCTTCGTCCCTGCCCTTGCTAAGGAGATATTTAGGCGACTCCTGAAAAGTGAAGACTAAAAACCGCATCATGAATATGAACAAAGATATTGCACCCAGAGTGAACAATAGGTACCTCCATCCCATATTGTCCTTTTTGGAACAGCATTCAGCGCCTGGTGCCAAGTCCTTTGCTTTACATGATGGTAGGTCCGTCGCGCAGGAATGTTTGGGTATAAATCCGTAAGCTAAGCCACTGCAAACGACAACTCCGATCGGTTGAAAGATCGACAAAAGTGCTAAGAGAAACCGATTTTTCTAGTGATAAATGTTAAATGCTGCTTTTCAGATAGTGTCGCGTGGGGGCACACCTGGGGAAGGAATTCCAGAGCAATTGTTGTGTCTATGGGAATGTTTCCTCCAATACCAAAACCAGTAAAAGCGACTAGCACAAGAAAACCAGTGTACGAACTCGGTATTGCCATGCAGATTCCAAAAATTGAGGTAATGAAGACGGTGCCATTGAAAGCCCATTTGCGACCTGAAGGATGAAGTTATTGGAGAGTGCAAGATAATATGGGCTGGTCACTTACCGATCATATCGACCAGAACTCCCCATACTAGAGCTCCAACTGTCAAACCAGCATTGACGACTGTGAATAAACGACCCAATTGCGTATCTACATGAATTGATTAGCACTGTAGGTCGTGCAAGTCCTCCCTCAACTATTTCTGTGTAACAACTCTTATCTCTGACATAATGCGGAGTACAGAACCGCTGTCAAGCCCAAATTCATCGTCAAATGCCAATCCAATGCGTGGTGCCACATACCGTCAATTCCCATCTCTCTTTGCAGAACTGGCGCAATCAAACCGAATGCATGCGCCCACAGTAGATCCAAGAAGTATCCCAAACCACACAACCCCCATATATACCATTGATACCTTCCCATCCCCATCTCATCAATCTCTGCCGCAACCAACAAGATCTTCTTATCCTGAATTGACAAGCCATCAGAAACGGAATCGCTGGTCAATGCTTCGGTGTCACTCGATATCTTTGAGGCTGGAGAAATGCGACCATCGTTTGAATTGCCTGTAGCCCCTCAATTAGTACAATTTCTCTTGTATGTATTAGTCTAAACTGAGTGAAGAAATATAATGAATCCAAATTTTACCTGGAGATACAGAGCCTTCAACCTCTATATTCTTCGTCTCATCATGTCCCTCACTTTGTCTCAAGTTTGATGAATTCATATTTAGCAGCGGAACAATACTTTCTCTTTCCCTCTCAATAGCAGTACGTACTAATTCTCTCTTCTTTTGTCTTTTAAAATTGTCTTTTCTGCCCCGAGAAAAATAAGTGCGCATGGCATTTGTGTTAGATATGTGCAAAATAAGTTTAAGTACATTGGGTATGGTTAGTTGATTTATCCGGTAGAGAGGTTAAGCAAGTCGATGATATCAACATCGATATCTAAGTTTGCACTTGCTTAGCGGGAACACTTTAGGTTGGTAGTGAGTTGGTCAGGTCAGTCGGTCAGAAACAACAAAGGCTTGCAAGCACCCATCGGGTGCATGAAGTGTTGATTTGTTGATAGGTAATAATCTTTCGGGAAACGTTACTACGTAGGTAGGTATATATCTGGTTATCGAGATAATAAGAAAAGAGTGAACCTACATGCCTTCTGATTTCCAGTCATCAAAAGCAAGCAAGCAAGCAGCTAAAAGAAGTAAAAGCAACTTCCAATTATGTCTCAAGAAAATATTACAAAGGAAAGTGGTCGATTGATTGACAACGCCAGTATGGCTTAGACAAACATCTAAAGTGGTGTCGCCTTCAAGCTAGTGTCGAAGTGAGATAGCTGGGTCGACTTTTTCATCTACTTGACTCTCGTAATGAAGCCATGTCATGATGGCAATCGAACGTTATGCGCCGGAAAAAGCTGGTCCAAGAGATTCCGACGAAAAACAAATGCATGAAAGAGAGGCCTCGACCTTCCGATCGGAACTTAAGTATCGAGTCTAGATAATCATTGTCACGCCTTTCGAGCCTTTCGATTATTTATGTGTCCAGAGTTTGAGTAGCAAGAGAGAGGTTAATGAATGAGACAACGTCCATTGGGTAGAACATTTGGGGTATGGTGGACTGGTAGGACCAAAAAGAAAAAAAAAAAAAAGATCCCTTACCCCTCATACATCATACCTCATGCCGACCGACCCCTCCTTACCTCTGTGTTTTCCTTCTGACATCCATCCATCCCACTCCATCCCGAACATTCATATCAAACTAATATTGAGTTCCCAAACTTCGGCTCGGGCCCTGATTGTTGTACGGACGATTCGATCATACACTGTGAACCAAGGCCAGAGACCATTCATATGTATTTTAATTCGTGATGGTTATTCTTGCGCCTAAAAATATATCTACAAAAGCTATTTCATGTTACCGACACAAGAAATAAAACCCCCCCCTTCCCCACTTTTCACAACTCATGACAGCAATGGAGCCAAACTGCCAATACTTTTCTGCTATATGCTTGTAGCCAGAACATTCGCTGCAAGACATCGAGCAATTGTGAAATCAAACATCAAATTCCCAGACGCCGATACTGTAAGATCCATTTGCATACAGACTTAAACGCCAGATTTATGTTAAAAAAAGAGTATGCACCAAACCCAACTGAACAAGAAAGATATCAATCAACGCCTCGAGAAGCATCGACATAATCCAAAGCCAGACCATTGACCAGGATAATGTGTGGTATATTTGGTAGTCCGGTCCATAAGATCATCCGTCGTAAGTACCATTTCGTATCCCAACCAATTAAAAAGCAAAGGGTGTATCCAGGGGAGAGCAGGTAGTAATATGGTAGCTGTCATATTTTCTATGAGGATTCTAAAGGTTGAGTTACATCAATACCATAAAGAGATGCATGTTTCTTAGCCCATTGTCTGGTAAGGATTGAGGCTAAGGAAATGTTAGTCATATTCGGATAAAATGCTTTGGAAATACATACCCTTCAAAAATTTCTTGCTAGCATACTTCTTGAAGAATGCCTCATGGGTAACAGGACGAGCAAGGTAATCAACCATCAATTGAAAGACAGGTTCAATCTCATCTTCACTGTATCCGGAGTAGTGAGTCAACACTGGGTCCCATTCACCCTTCTCAAGGATAAGTCGGGCAAGATACATGGATGCGGCGGCGACGTGACTGGGGAGGTACTTCATGAATCGGTGATCAAGAAGACTGATCTCCATCAAGTACTTGCCCAATGTACGGGTTTGGATGTCGTAGTCATCAGCCTTAGAGATACGTCTCAAGAAGTTCATGGGGTTGGGGTAGCTCAAGTCATAGTTGAGAGCACTGAGAACGTAACGTTCGGCACTGAGGATTTCTGCCTCAGTGAATCCATCATCGGCGACGTGACGGAAGTTGGCAACGTGGGGTGAGAGGACTTCTTCGTACTTGGAGGCAATGAACATGGCAGTAACGCCAACGAGTTGAAGACGATCAAGTTGAACAACCTTGGTGGAGAGAAAGCGGTCGATGATGTTGACAGCAAGGAACAAAGTTTCCGGGAGAAGGTGAAAACGTGTGTGAACTTCAATGAGCCAGTCGACGAGGATGCCGCGCATTTTCCACTCCAGATCCTCTTGATGGGCCATATACTTTTCGTTAGGTTTGGTAGCGACCTCCAACTTCTTCAAGTATTCAAAAATCTCAACGACGTACTCGGCCACCATCAAAGGGTCATCCGAGTCTTCGGCATCCAAGTCGCGTACACCTTCGGCGAACTCAAGTCTGACAGATTCCTTTGGCTCTGGTTCAACAATAGCCTCTGCTTCGTTCTCCTTCTCCTCGACGACTTCACTTTGCTTGATTCGCTTTTCTGCTTCAATGTGGACCTTCTTTCGGGATGGTTGTTCATCTTCAACGGGTGTTTCTTCCTTGACTGAAGCTGCTATCGTAGCCGCAGCTGCAGCAGTCTTCCTCTTCATAACACCCGACCCAGCCGCCTTGCTCAATGACTTTTTGTTTGCATCTTTAGCTCCGAGGGCTGATCGTGTACTGTTCTTGGTAACGCCTGTTGGTTGAGAAGCTTTTGAAACTAGTCCACTCTTGGCAGCAGGCTTCTTTGCCTCAACGGCATCACCTCCTTTGGCAACGTTGCTTACATCTCCCAGTGCGGCCCGTTTTCGGAGTGGTTGTGTGTTGGCGGTTGATTTCTTGCTTGCAAGTGGTTTCTTAATGGCACCGGTAGCCTCTTCTGTGGTAAAAGCTGCAGATTTAGATCTGGTAAGACGAGTTGTGACACCAGCTACATTCTCATCGTTCTCATTTGTAGGGGCCCGACGGCTAGTTGCTCGACTCTATATGCACACATGATTAGCGCTAATCAATTGCGACCAATTGAACGAACTCGTAGTTTTGGGAATGGAACTATGTGGTTTCTGGGGTACATACAACTGGCATATTTGACGATGTGTTATATTAACTATTATGTGTGGAGTGTTGTGGAGAGAATGATGGGGTGGGTCGCTAAAAAGAAAATGGTCAGCAAGACGCGATCTATAGGTGTTGGAAGCGCGTGACGAATGTTGAAGACAACGAGATGAAGACGCGAAGTGACGACCACAACAAGATGTATAAGGTAGAAGGGTATACATACATGAAGATGGATTAGACCTTCGTGGATCCCGACGTGTAATTGACGATAGGAAGAATTGGGGTTGTGATATATCGACTTTGTTGACAGATGAAGAATTGAACTTTTTTTTTTTGAATTTGTACACGAAACCGAAAGAACCTGAGCGATTGAACAAACAAGATACCGAGATGGATCTAATGCTGGCAAAATACCTAAAAGGTTATCAAGAACATGAAGGTCGAAGGGTCGAGGTGCAGTATTTTTTGGTTTGTTTATGGGTAGGATGAGTTGATGTTTATGGATTGTGGGATGTGGATGTGGATGATGAATGAAGGGTGGAATAATGTGTGAGGAAGACTTTCTAAAGAGGATGTCAGAGCTTCCCAAGGTTGCTAGGCACTCGCTTGTTGTGGGTGGGATTTAGCGTGTCGTGCTTCCTTTCGTGGCTTTGGCCTGGTACAGTAACAAGGGTATTTTGGGAGGAGAGCGAATAGATAGACAGATAGAGAGATAGAGACAATAGTATTATACTCGAGTAGGGACCTAGTAAGATAAGTGTGTTTAGAAAGCAACGGCCAAATAGATGATGTAAAAGCTCAATTTGGATCAATTAAAATCTTTCAAAAAGGAAAATCTTTTATAGAAATGATTTTTAAATCAATTTGACTAAATGGAGCTATTCAAAAGTGTTCATCTAACCAAGATTTATGGTAGAAATTGGATAATATTTTGGATTTTGGTCGGTCACAACAAGCTCATATATCCACAATTGACCTAACTTTTTCTGTATTGAACCAAGTTAGAGACGCAGATAGCTTTGTTGATTTTCATTTAGTCCTAGGCAACCACTAAGCAACACTCTTTTTTCGTTCCGCGTGGCTCAATCCCGCGGTGGCTAGTGATAGATTCCGAGAGATGGCACCTAGAAAAGTACAACTTATTGTTGAATTGAAATTCAATGATTGAAAATGTCTTGAAGATACCAGGGAGATACATATAATCTATTACTGATTATATACTTGGTAAGTCTATAAATCTCTTTTTATTTTCATAGCATTCATACAATTTTCCCTTGAATATTGTATCTGAAGTGATAGTAGAAAATTTATTTATATTCTGCTACATATGATTGCGTTCAAATACTCAAACTAAACCCAATCTGGAGATAGCCTTTCCGAAAGAAGTTTGAGAGACGTTCAAGCACAAACGACATCGACTTTCAAAACTCCCAACCACTATTTCCGGAGGCCCTCGCCGTGGCGAGAAGATCAATCGAATTGCGGTGATCAATTCGATATATAGCATACATCATGTTTCAACCCAGGATACTTGCGCGACAATGTCCAAGGGCAACATGCAATTACCTACCCACCATTCGACCCTTCCCTCGCACATACGCAACGGTCGTTGAGCCAGTAAAGGCTGAAGTCCCTGCAGCACAAGCTGTAACAGCAGGTTTTGCACCTCCTATATTCTCATCTGATAGCAGCAGTGCTACTTTTGCTATGCGAACATACAAGCCAAGAACACCTGGTGTCAGACATTTAAAGAGACCTATAAACGACCATTTATGGAAAGGACGACCATTTTTACCTTTGACTTTCGCTAAGAAGGGTCATGGAAAGGGAGGAAGGAACAATAGTGGTCGAGTCACAGTTAGACATCGAGGTGGCGGTCATAAGAGAAGAATTCGTACCGTGGATTTTCATCGAATGACGCCTGGAGTACATACAGTGGAACGTATTGAACATGATCCAGGAAGGAGTGCGCATATTGCATTATTGAACGAAGAAGCTACCGGTAGAAAGAGCTATATTGTTGCTGCGGAGGGCATGAGGGCTGGAGATAAAGTACAAAGTTATCGAGCCGGTATACCAAGAGATTTATTAGAGAGTATGGGAGGATTTGTAGATCCTGGTGTGTTGGCTGCAAAGACTGCTTGGAGAGGAAACTGTTTACCATTACACATGATTCCAATTGGTACAAATATTTATAATGTTGGATCAGCGAAAGGAAGAGGTGCTGTGTTCTGTAGAAGTGCAGGAACATATGCGGTTGTGGTATCAAAAGATGATGAGACATCCAACAGAAATAAAGGTCCAATGTATGCCACTGTACGATTGCAGAGTGGTGAGGTGAGAAAGGTTAGTATTCATGCATGCGCAACTGTAGGCATTGCTAGTAATCCTCATCATCAACATCGACAACTTGGTAAAGCTGGTCGTTCAAGATGGCTGAACATTAGACCAACAGTTAGAGGTCTTGCTATGAACGCTGGTACGTATCTCATACTTTAATTACAATTAAGTCTTGAATGCTCACAAATTTCGCAGCCGACCATCCACACGGAGGAGGAAGAGGTAAATCAAAGGGTAACGTCGACCCTGTTAGTCCATGGGGTCAACCTGTATGTATTCCATCCTTCAACCTTAAAGATGCATACTAACATTACTCCCCCCCAGGCCAAAGGAGGTTACAAAACTAGAAAGGTTCGCAAGCCTAATAAGTGGGTGGTAACCGCTCGTGAAAGAAATCACGGAAAGAGAAGAACAAAGTAGAGGCTCAATTATCTGATATACATTGTATTGAAGTTGTACATGTAGACTATGTATCTTCCCTATTACATATGGAAGTATTCTTACACACCATGTACAATATCAAACACGGAACAAGTGATATGCCTACCAATCCTCCACATTTGACATGCTCCTTTGCATTTCGTCTACACGCTCATTGATGATCACTCATTATATACCTCTAGTATAATATACTCCTTTAAATAAATCATTACAGTCTTCCATGCCATTCTATCCTCAATCCTAATGATCCAAAATCCCCAGTAGCGGCTAGACAAGTAGCCAACTCAACAAACCATAATCAACCATTCTCCTACTTTCTCCCATCACACCACACCACATCATATCATCATCATCATCATCATCACCTAGACCCTATAGCATCCATTATATCTTCGCCTTCAATCCCCCTCAGCTCACTAAATCTACATCACTACATGACTACATTATATCATATACATCATATCCAATGAACTTCAATCAATCGAGTAAAATCCCCGAAATCGTCTTTTCTTTCCTCTTTCCTCTTTCCTCTTTCCTCTTTCCTCTTTCCTCTTTCCTCTTCCGTTCTAAGATCTTACCGCAAACTCCAACTTCAACAACTATACACTGCAATTCATTTCTCCCCCTACCAAATCCATCCCATCCCATCACCTCTCTTCTGTTACAACACCTTCCACATCTTCAAATCCCATTCTCGAAATCCAATCTCAAATATAATTAATGAATACCTGTTAAATACCTAGATACTCAAACCGAAAAAGTACCGCATTGATAACTCCATCATCATCATCATCATCACTCACCCACCAACAGTCATCTCACCCCACCTCACCTTATTCCAGCCCCGTTCCACCGCAAACTAAAAAGCAACTTCACCAAAAATCAACCATACCCCCTTCAAAAAAGAAGTTTGCAGAAATATTTTCAAAAATTGTAAACTAAAATACCATAAACCTACTAAATACACATCCCAACCACCAACCACCAACCGCCTACCACCAAAACCAATCATCTAATATACAGTTTACATACCTACATA